GAGAGAGAGAGAGAGAGAGAGGATCCATTGGGAAACTCTTGCACGTTGAGGTTACTGGCACCCGCTCGAAGAGCTCGATGATCAACGGGAGCACAGGTGATACAGGTGACAGGTGATGTCATATTTTTTGAACTTTAAGTGCTTGACCCTAACCTGAAAAGGGGTAGTCCAATAATGTAAACCGTAATACAAAAGTCAAGTCAATACTCCTTGGTGAAGCTCGCTTGCTTTTTAGCCCCTTTTTTGCAATATGAACAATAACTTCGTCCTGGGCCGTACTCGTGCCCTCTGAAATTTTTGGTACACCACACTGGCTCGAGCATGGCAGCTTCCGGGAGCAAAATAAAGGAATTCCTCAAAGACGACACCACCAGTTATTGGACATTCTTTCATGGAACTAACGCTCAAAAGCGGGAGACTACACCCTTAGAAAAAAAATGTGGAGTGAATCTCTAGTTTTCCACTTGAGGGAGCTGCGACTTGTGAAATTAGTGGCTGAAGGAGTTGCTCCCATGGCCGATTCTACAAAGAGCAGCATCGAGGCAGGAAGCCAATGGCGAAATGCAAATGAAGAGAAGTATTTGACCACGCAGTCTCGTTTCCATGACAGGGACAGACTCACCTTACAAAAATGCCTTACATCGACGCCCACGCTGTACAACTGCACAGCTCTTCATTTTCCTGGTACACCCTTACATTGATCCTTTTAAATTCTAGCTATTTTCGGATCTATCTCGTTACACAAGGACGGGAAAAGGTTCACGACTGATGTCATGCCGAAATCGGGGACGACGTCGAATTTGGACTGTGCTAGGTTGTGCATTGTTTGTACTGTCCGTCGTTGTATGGTTCGAAAGTTATCCGTACTGTCGAAAGAAATGCGCCATTTGCAGAAACCATGCACAGCAGTCTCGAAGGGATCAGATGACACCGCATCATCTACGATTTTAACCCTCCACCAAAAAGTCATGAAAAAAATGATTTTCTTCCGATTAAAATACGTAAAGAATTCGGTGGCCAACCAGACCACAGTATAATGCCACCCAGTTCTTAGCCTCACTTTTAGAAATACACATAAACAGCGGAAAATGATTTCACGATTATGATCATGAGATAAAATACTCACTTCTGGACTTAGCCACCACCCAGCGATGAAGATCTCTTCCCTCGCCAGTTCCATCATATCGGCGGCATGCGACATGTAGGAGCGAGCATCAACAAACCTAGAGCAATAACTTTCAAATGTATAAAACCACAGAACGATTAACAATGTAGAAAATCTATAATGTTATGTAAAGCAACACAGGGAGACGAAGTCGATTTACACGGCGTAGTGAAAAAAACATTTTCTATGTTTGGTAAGATAGTGCTATCTCTGAGCTTCATCCAGTGTAATGTTGCAAGGTGTATTTGAAGCTCTTCACTTGGTTAACACGTTTATTGGCGAGCTTTCGGCACGTAATGCCTTCGTCAGGCCTTAAATTACAGTGCTTAACATATAACAGCTACAAAAAGAATACATCGAGATGGTTACATACCAGTGATGAAGGGACGGACCTATCAGTGGGGACACAGGGACATAAAATGACCCGCGCTGACATAACATTGAGGCACATGGGTGGGGTCTGATGATTAGGCGATGAGCCTCAGGAGGTCACGTAGCTCCTCTTTTGCATTAATTTCTGGCTTTAAGCGATGTATCTCCCGCGCTTCCATTATCTTCCTTTCCAGCGGTCGTACCAAGTGTCTGTGCAGTACACTCACGTCGAAGGACGGAGCATTATCATCCGCGTGCCTAAGTGTACGGTGCCGCGAGAAACTGCTTCGTGGGTAAGCAGCGGGGTTGGTCAGCGCTCTTCTGTGCTCGTCTAGACGATTCTTCAACGGTCGTGCGGTCTCCCCGACATATTTCTCTCCACATCCTCTGCACTGTATCAAGTAGACGGTGCCTTGGAGTTCACAAATCTTTTCAGATGTACAGTATCGGCAAGATTCTTCGTGACACCGGCTTTCATAGATTCTTGAAGATGTCAGGAGGGCTTTCAATGTGGGGGAGGACGGAAAACCCAGTCGTATGGGAAGCTGGGAGGTCTTCACTACGCGATTCACCTCACGTGCCATTTTGTCGTTGACAAAAGGCATTATGAGGGTTATTCCATCTGCTGATCTATGTGGAAGCCAGGTCCTGGAAGGTACTTCGAGATAACCATTGCTTCCAAGGATGTTTTTGACCTTAGCATCCACATCTGGATCCCTTCGCGTCCCGAGCTTCTCCTTCGTTTTGACCAGATTTCGCACGACGTTCGCCTTCATATAAATCGGATGGGCACTTCTGGAATGCAAGAGTATATTGGATGAGGCACTTTTCTTATACCACAGGTGTTCCTTGCGACCTTCACATATCCGAACTTTTGTATTGAGGAATGGCAGGAAGCCATCACTCCCTGGATCTTCTCTAGTGAAGGTTATGTTTCTATCATGCGAGTTCAGTCTCTCCAAGGTTTCCACTAGATCTTCCTCTGTCTTCCCAATAACAAAAACGTCATCTATATAGCGTTTGTAGAATATTATTCCACGCGCTAGTGATGACCTCTCGATGTGGTCCAAGAAGATGACTGCTAACACCGGTGCTATACGGTTGCCCATGGCTAAGCCTCGTTTCTGCTTGTAGATCTTGTTGTAAGAAAAGAAAAGTGTAAGAAAAGTGCCTCATCCAATATACTCTTGCATTCCAGAAGTGCCCATCCGATTTATATGAAGGCGAACGTCGTGCGAAATCTGGTCAAAACGAAGGAGAAGCTCGGGACGCGAAGGGATCCAGATGTGGATGCTAAGGTCAAAAACATCCTTGGAAGCAATGGTTATCTCGAAGTACCTTCCAGGACCTGGCTTCCACATAGATCAGCAGATGGAATAACCCTCATAATGCCTTTTGTCAACGACAAAATGGCACGTGAGGTGAATCGCGTAGTGAAGACCTCCCAGCTTCCCATACGACTGGTTTTCCGTCCTCCCCCCACATTGAAAGCCCTCCTGACATCTTCAAGAATCTATGAAAGCCGGTGTCACGAAGAATCTTGCCGATACTGTACATCTGAAAAGATTTGTGAACTCCAAGGCACCGTCTACTTGATACAGTGCAGAGGATGTGGAGAGAAATATGTCGGGGAGACCGCACGACCGTTGAAGAATCGTCTAGACGAGCACAGAAGAGCGCTGACCAACCCCGCTGCTTACCCACGAAGCAGTTTCTCGCGGCACCGTACACTTAGGCACGCGGATGATAATGCTCCGTCCTTCGACGTGAGTGTACTGCACAGACACTTGGTACGACCGCTGGAAAGGAAGATAATGGAAGCGCGGGAGATACATCGCTTAAAGCCAGAAATTAATGCAAAAGAGGAGCTACGTGACCTCTTGAGGCTCATCGCCTAATCATCAGACCCCACCCATGTGCCTCAATGTTATGTCAGCGCGGGTCATTTTATGTCCCTGTGTCCCCACTGATAGGTCCGTCCCTTCATCACTGGTATGTAACCATCTCGATGTATTCTTTTTGTAGCTGTTATATGTTAAGCACTGTAATTTAAGGCCTGACGAAGGCATTACGTGCCGAAAGCTCGCCAATAAACGTGTTAACCAAGTGAAGAGCTTCAAATACACCTAGCAACATTTTCCATGATTTTAAATTGCGACGTGAATGGTTTAAACGTCGATTTCGACTAAAATAGACGGAATTCAGGATTACGGAAATCTGATATATGGACCATAGGTACGGTGATTGCGCACGCGATCGGACAAATTTCCCCAGTTTCTACGCTCTGATAAACTTTTTTTTGCCTCCCAAATGAAAAATTTATTTCGTGCTATCCCAAAGTGTCACCGCTCGAATTCCTGCACCCGAAGTTTTTCGTGCCTCATCTTTGTTGCACGAGATAGAGGCTGTGACAAATTTGCTCAACACCAATTATTCACTGCATCTACAGGGAATTCTAATACATGACGTCTGCAGGACATATATCTTATCGAAGAAGCATCATCCATCTTGTCGAAGAAGCTCGTATGAGCTTGAATAAGACCTACAATGTCTTAGGAAGTGCCTGACAGCCCAACAGGTAAAGTGTGAGGGATACAGGTTGTTCCAGTACGAACAACAAAATTTGGGCAAGCGGCTGCGTCGCAGTGAAGTTCGCCAGCGCACAGCACATACTTGAAGACAGATTGTACACTCACCCCCTAGATATTGGTCCATGAATTGAAAGGGTCCGCAGCTGCAGTAGCGAGCCAAACTGCAAGGTAAAGCGCAAGGGAACAGGATTGGACATTATGATACCGGGGCCCGCCTCCATACTCCGCTCAGGTTACCGCACGGCCCTAAAGACAAACTTCGTGATTGTATGCTGTGGAAAGCGGCGCTCCCTTACGAACCGTAACACTTCAGGGGAGCTTCGTGGCGAACACTTCGGAAAACCTAGTAGCCTCTCTGGACGAGTTCCCGACCTTTCGTTTTAAGCAGCAAAGCGGTGTCCTGCCACCTCTAGTTCAACGGTGATTTCTCCGCGTCATCAGCACCAATATAATCAAACAACGAAGAAAAGGAAACGTGGTGTAATTTGAACATGTGACAGAAAATAGCCTTTCAGTTTCGGGATCAGACAACTGGGGAGGAGCCAGAAGTGCCACATATGAGGGCCACAGCGCCTTTGTCACATATTGTGAAGCTGCAAAAGTGGGGTACCCGTAAAGACTGAGGGCCAGACTGCTTGCACAAATAAGGATGCCTATGAGCTGTTCGAGCACGTGTACACTCTCTAACCGTCGCTACGCGCTACTTTTCAGCACCCTCTTCTTGCTAATTGTTCTCAACTGCTAAGTGCGTGTTTCGGTTCAGCGTGTTCCTGGTTCAGCGTGTTCCAACGCAAGCAGTGCACATTGAGGATGGCAGTCCCGTGCATTCTGAGCGAAAATGTGGCACGCTACTGCAGCGCCGGACCGACTAAGCCACACATGGAAAAGTCTGCCGTCGGGTGAGTAACATTCTGTTACAGTGATCGAGCTACTAAGCCTTCACACTTCACAAGTGATATTCGTAGAATTGTGCATGATCAACCTAATGTCAAAACCAACAAGCAATCAAAAGAACAAATTCTCAGTAATTCCGTGACACTCCGCTTCACCATGCTCATTACGTTTTGCGACTGCAAGAAGTGCTTTTGTACTTGAAACAGTTGACCACCTTACCCACGATTATCCCTAATAGTTTACCTCTTCACACAATAAGTTTACCTCTTCACACAATACAATTGCACCCCTTTCTAACTGCCTACGCTAGCTTCTGAGAGGAGCGGCACCCCCGACAACAGTTGCTAAGCACACGTATTTCCTAACAACAGCTGCTTGTTCAGTATACGTTCTTTTAACAAAAACAAAAACTCACCACTCTTCCGTATGACTTTTCTCGAATAGGAAAGGATGAACTGAATCGATGTGGCTGGATCCATATGTTTCCGATACCATTCATAGCCTCTTCGATGATAGCTTTCCATCGAGCTGTATCTTCGATGCGCCGGCACTTGAGATGTAACTCACTAAAAATGTGGCAGGTACCGGGCTTACTGTTAGTGTCGTTTTTGAACAGCCTTTTTGCAACGCTGATTCCGCAAAATATCATTATGCAGGTAGCTTCAATTGCTGACTAGTTCTGCCTAATATGTCTCATGTTAATCTTGATGATTGACTTCACATTTACCTTTGGTCTTTTTTTTAATCTGAACAAAAATCTACATCTCAAACTTGTGGAAATTTGTACGGCCCTGTTCAACTTCCAGTTCAGGCTGAACACTGCAGGATGCGTCGATTGAATTACAACTCGGTTCACGAAGAAACTACTAACTGTGATAAAAAAAACCCTAGCTGGTCTGTCCGGGCTCGACCGAAGTTACGCTCAAATTGAAGATCCCTTTCAAAATAATGGATTGGTAGTGCACAAACGGTACCACGATCCCAGATCCACGTGAAAGCTCAATCGGGTTCCTGGCCTACATAACCTCGCCAGCAAAATGGCACATTTCAACACCTCTCAGAAGAAAATGAATAAAATTCACTCGAGTAGATTGGGAAGTTTTACCGTATCCAACATAGTTCACAATAGTAACAATCATAATATTTTTGTCTTTTCTCATGTAAGGGAGAAGGGGCATTTCCTGCGATGGGTCGAAAACCTGCCCTAAGTTTTACAAAGGAAGTGGGATTCTTTCTCACTACAAGAGAAAAGAGTAGTCCTCAACAGCCGGATCGGCAGGCGTGGCGACATGGAAATTGAAGGGAATTGAAGGGTGGCGGCTCATTTTCCACCAATCATTGCCCACCTCATCTGGCAGCGACTGTCGCGACTCTCGGAAACGAGCATATCCACCTCACACTGATACGCCCCGTCGATATCTTGACGATGAGTGTACTACTAACTAGGAAAGGTCGTCAGGTCGAAGTGGCCATTTGTAATGAGATGTAGCTCACTAGACGTGGTTTTGGACGCTGATCTCGAATGCCTTCGAAATTTGCAGAGCGATTCTCTGAACGGAGTTATGGAGCTTTTTCCACCGCGTTTACCACGCAACAGGTCATGGGATCGGATCCCTGCTGAGCTTAACTTTTTTGCTTCTTGCGCAAACGTGGCAAAAAGTGGTTGTAGCGTCACTACTACATTAGCGCTCTCTTGCCTGAAAAACAGTTTGCGTTCGCTTACTGGCGCGCTTAGTGCCTTATGATCTAGGAGGAGATGTACAGGTGCCCTTGGCGCGCAGTGCAGGCGTTTTCGCGCTGAGCGAGTGCCATATTCGTATTTATGGGGCGAACTACGCCTAGGTAGAGGTTTCTAGCCAAATCTGGCATTTTGACCTGAATTCGAAAAGTGAAGAAATCCATGGGTTTTCAGGTGATATTCCCACCTAGCTGCAGACACATTCTCCTGCACAAACCCTCGTCTTGCCACTTCTTACGCATTCATTTTATTACTGCTCCAGTTTTCCTGATATCTAAAAGCAAATTCTGTCCAAAGACAAGCAATCGACAAGAGACTGGCTCTAACTATTGGTGACTACCGCACTTTTCAAAGTTAGCCTCACATCTGGCTAGAAACCTGTCCCCAAGGGTAGTTTTGCTCCCTGAACACGAATATGGCACCCATTTGGCGTTTGAGTGTTTTCTAGACTTAAAAGAGACATTCCCCACAAAATGCAAAACAAGTTCTCCTCCATAGGAACTCGAACCCTCCACAGCACACCCAGGAAGCAAGACTATTACCACTACACCGTGCCACCGCTTGAGGTAGAGAGGCTTCGCGGCTATTCATGCAAATTGGCTGGCAACCGCGCTCGACTCCGTGTTCCTTCATTTTAATTCTAATAAACCTTCATAATTCCTTTCAGAGAATCGTTCTGCAAATTTCGAAGGCAGATTCGAAATCAGCGTTCAAAAACACGTCCCGTGATATACGTCTCTCTACAAATAATCACTTCGACCTGGCGACCATCCCTAGTAAGATATTTGGCGGATATGTTGGCAGATCCTATGGGAAAAACCAACGGAATTTTCCACGCCTCAAAAGTTGCTTCGGGAAAACGACACAAGCCAAAGTATGCATGTATATAATGGAACAACAAAAATTTGGTTAATAACCCGCCGCCGAGCTTCCCGCTATCAGTCTCAAAATTCGTAATGATTCGCTTGTAAAAGGATCACTGTTTTAGTAAAAAAGCATTGTCAAGCCCAAGGTAGTTAAGCCATAAGTATATGTACATGACAGAATAGCAAAGATCTGGTAATAACACCGAGCTTCCTGCTATCCGTCTCAAAATTCCTAGTGATTCTCGTGTTAAAGGATGTGTCTGTGGTTGTGCTGTTTTGGCAAAAAAGCTTTGCTGAGATCAAGGTAATTAATGAACTCACTGCTGTGTATTGAAGATGATAAGACCAGTTGGTATACCATCAGCCTCTTTTCCACCCGCAGCTACCTGAAACAAAAACGAGAATAAAACCAGACCCCTCGGAATGTGCATGTTTAATCCTGAAATAATGATATTAAATGGAGGCGGACAGCGAGCCTTCAACTCATCCGCATTATTGAAGAGGATCACTTTGCGTGGGAACTTCCCGTAATATTTGGACGGCACTTACGAAAGTTAGACAGCGAAAGGCAAGAGGAAAGGTTTCCTGCAATACATCTGGAAAAATAGTAAACCAGTTTCACTAAAATCTTTTGCGCACGCAGTGATATAAAATAAGTTTGTAGGTTTTCGAAACTGTTAAAAAGGAGATACTATAGGAGGCAAAATAATGCGGCAACTAACAGTAGCTACGAATTTAAGAGGGAAGCCTTCATACGTTGAGACTGAGAGAATAGGAAAACAGCATCACAAAACGCCCGCAAGGGAGAACACAAGCACTGACATAGCGAATTAGCTGATGAGCAGAATTGATCGATTTCCACCTAGCCCTTTGGCGCACGCGCAGTCTCATACTCGCGAGAAAGTATGAATGCATTGTGAAGGAAATTTCTGTCGAACCTGTGCCATGCTGGTCAAAATCCTGAGGTGGGGTGATCTCATGAGTATCCGGATCAAGGAAAGAAGCGCAGTGGCTTCAAAACAATATAGAAAAAGTAGAAAATGTTAAGAAGTGCTGGAAAAAAGATGCAAGCGGTTCAGACGTTTCTGGCGGTCACTCACTTTGAAATCCTTATCCATGAGTAAAACCAATCGGATTCGCTCAGTCCTATGATCCATGTAAGCCACGAACGAGTCTCTAACCATGAGCCATCTTCATGAAAACAAAATTTCAAACAGCGTTAGGAAATTATGTACAAGAGGTATGACCGATCACTAGCAGGGCACATTCCGCGAGCTACACCCTTCCCTGAAAATGTCCTGCTCTGGGTTTCCCTTCCCCATCCTACTTACAACCTTCTTTTGCCGAACGTCTGTCGCTTTTTCGGAGTTTTTTCTTTCCAAAAGGTTCTCCACCTTGCCCCGAAGAAGGATGTGTGTAGTGCACTAGAGGAAAAAACAAAAGTCAACAGCCGAAAACATTTTTCATGAGGTTAATTTTGACGCTCTCCCCATCACTGAAGATCCCCATCATACGTCGTGGCCCCCGATCTCAAGAATACTTGAATCTCCAAAGCACAAGAGCTCACCGTTTGCTCCACGGAAGCAGATATCGAACACAGCATTGCTTCCAACCAAGAAAGACTCGAGCACCACCAGGCCGCTTTTTCACAAATCCTTCAGTGTGCTTGCCTCCTAACTCGTTTACAAAAGAGAAACGAGAAACCTCGAGAAACTCGGCCTGAAATGGTCGGGAATTCTCCTTTTGAACGAAAGTTATCATCGGAGTTTTGATCAAAAACTTACAGTTTCATGGTGGTTCCTATTAATAGGGATGTGCAGCAGCATTTGAAGCCAATTTTCTAGTTGTTCCTAAAATAAATGGATTATGTTCATTTCCTAAATACCCATATCAGATATAGTAGAGGGAGTGTGTTCATTTCCTAGATACCTATATCAAATATAGTAGAAGAAGATATAAAGAATATGAAAAAAAAGAATGAAATTTCAGGTGAGTGAACCTTTCTCGTTTCTGTGTTCGAAACCATAGAGTCGGGAATAATAGGGAAATGGGGGAGTGTGTGTTTCTTCCTCGTTCTTATTTTCTTGCTTCGTTTTTCTACAGTACCTTCATCTTGCATAATGCCGGCTGAACATTCAGATTTTTTCTACAAATAGGCAGAGTCTCCTAGAATTAGTACAATAAAGATGGGAACTCACACTGAACTGCTTCGCCTATTTTCACCCGAGCTTCTTCCAATTCTGGTGAGAAGCTTTCCGGCGACGTAATAGTAGGAACACCTGCTTTTCCATCGAAGTCGGCCTCACGCTTCAGCACGGGCAACTGAATAGCATCGAGATTACTTTAAGTGCATTAAATGCTCGAGTTATCACTGCCTCCAAGACTAGTTGGTCTCACTTGAATGATTCAACGGTCAAACTATAAGGAATGAATTAAAGATTCCTTTCAGCAGTTGATGCTTCACTACTCTCAATAATAGTAAAAAATTACAATCAAATATTACTCTATATAATTCGCTAAGTATTTCTATGCATCTGCACGTGTTTATGCGCTTCAACGGGAGAGGATGCTTGAAAGAGCCTAGCGGCGGGAACAAATACGGCACCTAATTTGACGGGTTGCAGACAATTCTCGCGATTAAGTGTTGTGTGGTAGCAGGCGCTCGATCATGAACCAGTAGCCCATAGGTAACTCCCCAGTAGAGAAAGAGGCAGAGAAAACCTTGACGAACACTCTGAAAAAGACCTCCTTAGCAGAGAGTGCCCTGAACGAGGTTGCCGGACGTCGGCAACCTCGTTCAGGGCACTCACTGCGTTCTTTTCTTTTCGTTCTTTGAAGGCTTTCTGGCTGAACGGCGCGGTTGTTTCGCTACTAACCCTCTCGAAAGGTAAAAAGTCGTTCGGCCACGTCTTTTGCTAGCTCTGTGCATGTACAAACTCGGCTCGGCATGGGGTTCTATATGGGAAATCTCGGGTGGGCTTCTTCCCGAGTTTTCATCACATATGCGATCACATTTCACATCTGCCATCTTATCATCAAGGTTTTGAACACATTGAACATTTCACGGTTTCTCAACGTGGGGCGTGTCTCTGAGTCTACGCGCATGACAGCGATCGTAGCCACCCAGGAGGAAAGAACGGATGAAATTAAAGGTTTCGGCAGTACCAAAATCGTAAAAATATGAGTAACAACATTCAAACCCTCAACGCAACTACAAGTCACAGGTTTCGTTATCTGCTCCGCGTGGAAAATCTTTCCCAATTTACGTAGTCGAGGTGACGTTATAGTGATAGTGAGCATGCCTCAGAATCACCGTGAGAACTATTAATCAGTCTGAGCTGGCCTTACAAGTGCAGAAAAAAGCACTCTAAACCTGTGAATCATGTCGTTTTTTGCGATGACTGTGACGGAAGTACGGACAATCCTCTTTGTGGTCCGGTATCACATCAATACCAACCGACTCGAGCATTGCATCAACGCGTTCTTGGGCTCTGCAAAAAGAGGTAATTCAGTCAAAAACAGAGTCCCGCTTATAACCGCGCCATCCACTCGAGTCCAATCCATATCCATTCGTCACGATACGAAGCATACATACAGAGAAGAAAGAAAGTTTTTCACATGCTTTCGAAAAAATATTGGACGACATTGAAACTTACGCTAGCCTTTTGTGTTGGTATAATCTGTAAAATCATGCGACGGTCATGATGCGAGTACATGCTGTTAGGAGGGGCAGAATGAATTAAAGAAAACTGCTCAAGTGCGTAAAAGAGCGAAAAAAAGCAAGCTAAATACACATGATGCTGGTTATATTCGGTCAAATGATATCGTAAAACCACAAGCTCGAACCCCTATTTATCGTAATTTTCTGGGACAAATAATTGCAAAAGGTGGGCTTTCCTATACCTCTAAAATGCTTGTTTGGAAGCTGTGTGTTCATCCGTATTCGAATCGATCAAGATTGCTTTGTCTTGTACGAGATTTGTTTTCTAGCTCTAGCACAGTCCGAGAATGAGTTGAATGCTGTCTTTTATGAAACTGTGTGGTAAGTGTCCGCGACGGGGCATGGCACCGTTAAGCAAAGGCAGTGGTCTGAGCTTTTCCTTGAAAACTGTAATGAAAAGATCGCTTACCTCCGGACAGGAGCCAATATTTGTTGGGCAGCTCTATGCGCTTTTAATCTACTATTTAGTGCTGTGAAATCCTTGTAGTTTCGAACGACGCTCCATTTGAATTGTCCATGTTCTAACTGAATAGTGTACCTGCAAGAGGCAATTCACAGAAAAGCCTTTCATAACACTCAGTTTTGTTCGCTGCGGATGAAGGGGCCTGTCAGGCGGGATATTTGTGCGGCGTCAAACCGTCCTCCACCGGCTGTTTAAAGGCACGATAATAAATCTCTGCATTGCTTCATTTGCGAAGTAAAATAGGGAGCGAAGGGATTGATTCGAAGCGGTCACGTGGATAGTTTATAAATGAGTATTTACGTGCAGCCGTAGCTACCGTATCTGCCATTGGCGCGATGCCTACGGGAAACTCGTCCGAATTGCTATCTGAGTCCTTAAAAATGAAGGCTTTCATTGCAGGTCGTTTCACTTCGTCTATTCGCCATTTTCCCCACTATATTGCACCCTGCTAGCAAGACCATGTACCAAATTATCGTGCAATATGCCTTTAAGCGAGCAAGTGATAACACTGTATCTCATTTCAACCACTGGTAGAGAACGAACCGCACCAAACCCATCCCGCATGACGCCCCTTGATCTGCAGCGAAAGGGACTGTACTCACTTCAATCAATGTCGTCTTGATTTACATAAAAATTAGGTAAAACCCAGGTGAGAGCCACTGATCGATTGCATTTGGCCATGTACCGATGAACTCATGTCCCCTTATTCATAGCAATATTTCGCATTCCAGAATGATTGCGTTTCGCATGCGAATTATTGCTATGAATAAAGGGGCACGATTTTTGAATTGCGCTATGTTGACAAAATGATGCATGATGCACAGCCCATCAGAATATTAAGAATGGGAATTTGTTCGTCGGAACGGTAACGAAATATCCCCCTTCAGACGTTCCTAAGCTGCTGTAATGCTCATTGAGGCGAGAGGCGCACCACGGCTAGGGTTATGAAAGGTTTTCTCCGTGACAAAGGTGGCGTTCAATTTGGAACTTCAGTACGATTCACCTCGTACTCGGCATTTTCAATATCGCCCCCTTACAATACAATTTTTCAGGTTTTAAACTGAAAAAGCTGAAGACGGGGAGAAGCTGAAGAGTAGCAGTGGGAGTGTTTCACCTTTGTCACGGAGAAATTGTAAAGCTATGAAAAATACATCAGGTACATAGAGAACGAAAAAGTAAAATCTTATTTGAATCGATGAATCGCCACTTACAATAAGCTGTTGATTAGATGTATCCGCCTGTATGTGTTTCTCTCGACTTTAACTATTTTTGCATTGACAGGAACTCCAGGAATCCAATATCCTCGTCTACGTGCCTGGGCTTGCGTGTCAAAGACTGCTTCGTACGGAATAATCCCTGAACAAATTCGATTAGGCTCCGTTGTTTCATGTAAGAGAATAAAAACAAGAACTTGGACATCCGTCGAAAGTCTATTATTCACTATCACCCGTACATTCATTCACTATAAAACTTGTGAAACAACTGGAATAACAAATGTTACAAGGATGCATGCAACGATTTGTCTACAACTTTCGGGTGCTCTTTAGTTCTTTCATACTTCTTTCCTTCACATTTCTAGGTGTGCATATGAGTCAGCAGCGAAAGTTGGTGCATGCAAACGCCAGAGAATCCTACAACCAAGATGAAAGAGCTGAATACGTATCGATTGTTTTTTTACCGGGAGATCGCTGCCTCACCCGATCGATACGTTCGTTTGCGCGGTTCTCCAACCTTTCCCGTCGATATGTACAGAAACCTTTTCGCGGATGCCCCTAGACTGCAGATGCTTTACAGTTTTGTTCACTGCCGAAGAGGGGGCGTGCCAGCTCGGATGCGTTTGGCGCGCCGCCAGCTCGTTCTCTACCAGTTGCTGAATCGGGTAAGTGACAAAACTGGTGGAAAACGAAAGGTATGAACTGTATTATACAGTCTTGTCGCTTGCTAAAAGAAAAAAAAAGAAAAAACAAGTTGGCGCCGTGCCAAACGCAGGCGCGCTGACACGCCCCATCATCCACAGCGAATAAAACATTATTATAAGATTATTATTAGATTATTAGATTAGATCATTTATCACCTTTCTTTCCAGGCATGCCGGGCAGAGACTGAGCAATGACTGACGCAATGCAATCGCAGTACTGGATCTCATCATCCGTCGAGTAGTCATCGCTTTCCTGGAATAGCGGGTCCTGAACGAATGCAACGTGCTTAACAAAAATATAACCTTCCAAGAGAAATAAAGTTCTGGAGCCAGAAAAGAACCACAAATTGAAGAAACTCGCCTCCTCATCCGACATTCCTCCTCGATTATACCCGCCGCTCTCCTGCAGTGTCTCCTTGCCGTTCATCTAAAAAAGAGCAGTATAAACCGTTACAAGTCAAAAAGAAACTTGAAATGGAGAAAGAAAAAAGAGTGAATAAGACAGACAGATAGACAGATAGACAGACAGACAGAACAGACAGACAGACAGGAAGAACGAGAGAAAGCAAGAGTGAATGAAACGCGATTTGCGGCCCTGCACAAGCCACAGCGTTTGCATTTCTTAAAAAAACGAAATAAAGTTAAGTAAGGGTAAAGCTTGGAAAGATCGCTTCCGAGTAGATGAAAAATCCGGTCATGAAATAGTGTTCTAAGCCTGTCCATAGTGACAGAATAAAGGAGTCCTGACTCAGAATCATTCCAAAGGCTATAATCGTGAGAAAAACAATGAAGCTAGCGGAGCACCACTTCAGCGTCGCCTCGCCCTCGACTTCAGCCAGCGGTAGTTAGACACATTCTTCCCAACAAATATAAAAAATTGGGTCAAATGGAACGCGCTCAGCACTGCTCAGTTTTCAAAAAGCTCACATCGCATTAGCGGTTGTTTCTTGACGCTTTCCAAGAGCGAAGTCAAATAGACCGGCTGACGATATACCATTTTCACTTTAAATTCACCCCTTTTCAAACCAAATTCACCCTTTTTCAAACCAAATTCACCCCTTTTCAAACCAAATTCACCCACCTTCCGAATCGAATTCACCACACTTATTAGGCTGCGCAATTCATCAACCAAATCACGCCAGACACTACTGCGGGCCCCGCCCCCTCGGCCACGCCCACTTGCTTTTTGCGGAATTTTGATATTTTTTCAAAATTTTTGCATTTTTGGACTGCTACGTGAAGCCCCGCCCACTGTGAGAGGCTCCGCCCACTTTGAAGAAGCCCGCCCACTTTTCAAAAATGGTGCAAATCGGCAGTATAGGGTCTTGGCTTTCATGCTAGGGTCTCGTTCGTCACTCGGAACAAGAAAATCAGGCAAAGTTTGTTCCGAATGATCAGCAATACCCTAGCATGCAAGCCGAGACTCTATACTGCCGATTTGCACCATTTTTTAAAAGTGGGCTCTCCAAAGTGGGCGGAGCCTCCTCACAGCAGCGGGCTTCACGTAGCAGTCCAAAAATGCAAAAATTTTGAAAAAATATCAAAATTCCGCAAAAAGCAAGTGGGCGTGGCCGAGGGGGCGGGGCCCGCAGTAGTGTCTGGCGTGATTTGGTTGATGAATTGCGCAGCCTAATAAGTGTGGTGAATTCGATTCGGAAGGTGGGTGAATTCGATTCGGAAGGTGGGTGAATTTGGTTTGAAAAGGGGTGAATTTGGTTTGAAAAGGGTGAATTTGGTTTGAAAAGGTGAATTCAAAGTGAAAATGGTATATAACGATTCATGCTTGACGATCTAGTAAAACCAGTAGGAAACGGCCAAACTCAACAATGACACACACTGTTTCAACTGAAGTTACAACTTGAACATTACCGGACAAGTTTCCCGTAAGGAAAACGATAAATGAGTCAGCACTGGGTAGTGATGCATAACGTTTTCTCAAACTGGCCGTTCTCTCACTTCTTTCGATAGGGTTCCGTTTCCTTGTTCCAGACAGCAATTAATGTGACCATTAGAGTCACATGGAAAACTCTATTTCAGAAAGATTGGTTGACAAGCAGGGAAACCAGTGCTGTTGCCCCAAAATGATAGTGAACGCTCCAACATTACATCAAGATGCATCATCAGCTCGGAAAATACTACGGAACTTCTTGGAGTGGATATGAGCCAGGTTTAATTAAGATTACGTAAAGAAGAAAAAATGAGAACAAAATCACCTTTACTTCAGGAAAACAGTAGCTCCTCTGCGAAACTCAGCGCAGATAATCGTGACAGCTTTTTAGAAACTCATTCACAGGAGTCAGCCATGTCCAGAGCCTGGAACTCAATATTCTAATTTTAGTAATAAAGCTAATTAAGCAAAGCCGCAAATATCACGAACAAGAGCAGAGAACGAAGTCCGTCTTCACACTAAATTGGCCCCTCCGTCTCTTACACTGTCCACTCTCTATGTCTGCTCTCTGCCCTCAATTTCCATTTCTGATTGCAACTGTTTGGGCGTTATTCACGAGCGCTACGGTTTTGGAAGTACCTGTGCTCTGGCTGGAAAGATGGGCAAAAACCACCAAGAAGGAGCTCAGATGACGCTAACGTTGTAAGGGAGGGGGGAGAGATTGGGAGCACTCTCCAGCGCTCCAGTATCCTTTTCCCTAAACAAGGCTTGAGCTTATGAAGTACATCAGGAGGTTTTCTCTGCGAAACTATCGGCCGGCTGCTCTCGTCATCTGCGCTTTGAATCCAAGGCTTTTTTAGGGAAACCATGAAGAGGCGCAGCTGTGTGATCCCCCTCTTCCAACTACATCAAAGCCATTAATTTCCTTGGCAACTGGAAAGCGAGCGCTCCGAGAAATGCCGTCCATTATTTTCTATTTCCGTTAGCTGGGTTCCGACCCTGATATCGCATGCAACTGCCAGGATGACCGATTTCACTTTTTTCGCCGCCGCTTCCGTGTGCGATAGCAAGTTTCTATAATAACGATTTCTTTAACCACCTCTTCCCTTTTCTTCCTACCGGAAACAATATAGGTCATCTCGTGGATCATCTTTTCGAGGAACGCTTGGATTTTCGGCTGTTCGGTAGAATAATGAGGAAATGGTCAGTAGAAATCCTGGCACTATTCAACTGTTAACTACTCATTTTCCGAAAACAGGCCGGATTTTGATCGACTTTTCCTACGAGGGCAGATTTGGCTGAAAGTTGGGTTCTAGGGGTAATTCGACCTCCTGAACACGATATCACATCCACTTGACCTGAAAGTGCCTGGCGCCGGCGCCCCGAATCCTAGATCACCAAAACTTGTAGCCAGGGATAGTTTGACCTCCTGAACAAAAATATCACATCTGCTAGGCCTGAAACCGCCTGGCGTCCGCGCTACAGGTGCTGGCGCCAGAATACCCTAGGTCACCAAAGTCCGCTGAAACTTGTATACGGAGTTATTTGACATCTTGATTACAAATATCACATTCATTTTTGGCGCTGGCGCTGATGGAGGACACTACGATCATCTGCGCTCTGCTAAGGCTGAGCCTGGCCTAAAGGGATCACTCCTTCTCCCAAGCTCACTTGGAGGAGCACAAAGGCGCCGGTGTCGAAAAAGAAATGTCACATTCGTGATCAGGGCATCAAGTAATCCTATTCTGCAGGTTCATATCGATTTGCATGAAGAAGTGTGTGGCACCAAATCAGCGCCAAATGGTGCCACTGTTGAAAACTAATGCGGTACTCGTGAACAGGACATCAACTAACCCTACTATGCAAATACATCGAATTTGGTGAGGAAAGTGGCGGCGCCAAACTGGCACCAAACTGGCTGGCGCCAGCGCCGAAAACGAGTGCTACATTCATGACCAGGACACCGGATTACCCCTGTTTCAGCACAAATTTTTCTGACTTTTTGGGGTAGTAATAGTTGAATAGTGCCGAAATCTTCGGTGAGATTATTGAGAGAGAAACGACGGGTCAATAAAAACTGTTCTCAAGGATGGGAAAGAGTTGAAACATAATAGCCCATTAAGGTTCTGCGTTCCGTGTACTCGAGACCTACTCCAGACGGAGGAGCTCGACAGTTACACTGATGAAGGGGTCACTATAGACGATGGAACCACCGAAATTGTGATTGCCACATCCAGTAGCTTTTTCTAGTGAATAAGAATATAGTGCGCCTTCCATCGACGGCAAACTCCACCACTGTATGTGAACATGCGTCAGTCGCGTCATCCATCGCTTATACCACCAAACAGTGAAAAAAAAACGAAAAACGTGAGATGACACTGGAGTTGTGACATAAGATAGCCTTTGGGTGAGCGGAACAACTGAGGAGGCGTGAGAACTGCCACTTATGAGGGCCATAGCCTCGGTTACTCGCTACGAAACCGCGAAAGTGGGACAATATTAGAGAAAGGGGACCGAATTACTTCTACAGGACAGTCCTTAAGAGGCATGGGGTTGGCCCACCCGGCGTTTTCACTACTGGTTGTTTTCTTCCTGAATCGACGAGCACGGCAGCTGGTGGCGGTCTCATACCGCCCTGACGGCGCCTGACTGATTGCGACAGTACCGACTATGTGGGTCAATGGGTGAAATGGTAGACCGCTTGCTCTTGGTTCAGTACCAGGACAACCTGGCCAGCCAAGCTGACTAAAGTTGTTGGTTGCCGCCAAGCATTCGTCATAAATAAGACTTCCATAAGGAGCTTGGTAACGTCTGAATAAGTACGAAAACGAGAAAGAACACTGCCTATTTCAGGGTCTATAATTCATTTCCACCATATGACGTGTGCTTCCTTATCAGGAAAATAGCTTCTGATATCAAGGTCTTTGCTTGTTAGTGTCAGTGCGTGAACATCGAAATTTCAATTTTTGACTGATTTATTGCTAGCCGATAAGAAAGTAAACAAGATAGCACTGAAAGTCTTTCTCTGGGAGTTTCAGCCTTTAATTAGATTGGCGACTCAACGGCAAAAAGGAACTTTGCGTGCATGGCAGTAATTGAAGGCAAGAGTTCGTTGAGTGGCAAAGCATGGAGGGCAACGATCAGTGAGAACACGTGGTTACGAATTACTGACACTTCCTTAAAAATTGCCTGAGAGGTGCTTTAATGAAGGTAAAGTAATGCCATGAGATGCAGTGGCCAGTCGATAAACATGTCGGACTTTTTATGCACCGAGCGAGTCTGGCACTAATCAAGTGATCCAACACAAACACTAGCTTGATTGCACTGAGGCTGAAAAGCAACCGTTGGCCGTTGGCCATGGTGCAGCGGGTAATCTATCTTTGCCCTTTTTACGAAATTTCGAAGACAAGCCCTGCATATGAGTACTGGTGTTCAACGGCGAATTCATAGTCGCTAAGGGACTGTCCAGAAGAAAAAGGCAAACAGTCACCAAGATTACCCTAATGACCCCCCAGCATCACCGTAGGAGTTTTCTGGAC